GGTTCATCTAAAACAGTTACCTAGCTTATTAGGCCCACAAACCTAATAGAACCGTTTTGGGCAATTATTAATATCTTGAAAAATTTTTAGATACCTAGTTCAATTAATAATACCATTAAATTAAATAATGTACAACTATTACTTAGCCTACATTTAAAGAGAAAAGGTTCATTAAATTAATTACTGATATGAATTTTTAATTAGTGTTCATCGGTGAAGATTAAGTTATAACAATAAAAATGCAAAAAGTCGTGCATTTTTCTGATACATATATGCAAAGATAAATGGCATTAAAGAAAAGTGGTGAGGGTGGTTGGGGACAGATATGCACAGAATTTTCAGACTGAAAACACCCAAAAAAGGTCTGGGTTATAAAATAATAGTGGATATAGTGTTATTTCTATTTGAAAGAGAGAAAAATTGTTTTTATGAAAAATGTCCATTTGTAACAGCTTGAGATGTTTGAAATGACCATATGAAAATGTTGGGTTTTGTAAATAATGAATCCACAAAATATAAATCAGCATTGAACTGCTCACTAGTAAACATCAAAGGAGTAAATTAAAACATAGGTGGGAAGATTGATATTCAATTTTAATAAACAGTCTTAAAAATAGTAACATGTTTATATTTATCAGTAGTGGATTTATTAAGAGGCAGATTGGACTGTGGCCTGGAGTGGCAAGTTTCAGGGGCAAAATTAAAAAAATATAGCATGATTAAAAAAAAGATTTAAGTATAAAAAATACCAATTAAGAATATTTGTTTTGTACAGCCTGTTTTTACAAGTATTACACCTGTAAGACTCCCCAGTTAAGAGGGTAATGGTATAAGTTCCCGTTCCATATTGGGAAGTAGGGCCGGGATTCGATCCTATGACCTCTGCTTTACTAGTATAGCTCACTGACCACTCTGCTATACCGGCCCCAATTAAGAATATAATCAATATTAAATAGGTAATGGACCCTGGCATACCTAACCAATTTGTTTTTAGACCAAAGGAATATCCGTTTTAATTTACCAACCAAAAGTTAAAATCAATTATTATAATTTGGTATCTGGCTAGAAAATTCACAATAAGATTTTGTTATTTTAGTTTGGATGTTTCTGAGTATTTATTTTTAAAGTTTTTTGGGGAGAAGAGCCTGGCAGGTGCCAAGGGAGAACCATCTCTCCCTCTCCCCTCCTCCCTGCCTCCTTCCCCCTCCTAGAGATACCTATCTAGCTCATGGTGATGGGAAAGGAAAGGACTGACTACCTAAACATCAGTCTTAAATCACAAAAGTTGGTTTGCTATCTATAGTTTTGATAGTAGCTAATGGTATTGACATTGAACTTTCTTGTTCGCTAAGCCTTTTATAATAATTATTATTAAACTGTTCATTAAAGTCATACTTATTGGACTTGAAATCATATGATCATTAAATCTTATGGAATCATATAAAAATTAAAACGCTTTTCACTTTATTTACTTAAAGATTGGTGACTGATATTTTGTTACACTTTATGCAAATCGGAACGTATCTTTATCCATAAAGATTACTATTTCAGCTTCAATATCAATTTAACTGTGATGGATGTCTTTTTGAAGGCTCAATGCAGGATCTAGGGTTTTCACATGGAAACAAACGTAATTTTGCTGTCCCTCCCCCTTCCCATTTCCCTTCCTAATTATTGTAAACACAATTTTTATAAAATATTTTTAGGAAATATATTTCTAAATAAATATTATTCATAACACTAAATCATTTTATTGACTGAATAAAAATGATCAAAAGGCAGAAACAAATATTTTTACACTGACTTGAAATTTGATGCTCTTTGAACTCTATTTCCTGTGGAAAGTGCCTACTTTATCCCAACCACATAGTTCTGGCCCTGGGCATTGGGCTTGATTAAAACTAAGTTTCCAAATTTTTTGGGGTACATAAGAACTTTAAAATAAGCTACCTAACATTAAATAATTTATATTCAGGAGCAGATCAAGAATAACGGGGCTTTAGACACCTAGGCTAGACAGCTAAGGCTCTACCTACTTAATATCTCTTTATAAGATCTCTCTTTTTTCAAATATGTTTTTAGTAAATTTAAACTTTTAGGAGAATTTTGATTAATATAACCTATATTAGTTGGTGACTATAGATTTATATTAAAAATTTTAAGTGTATTTCTTTAACTTGAATGGCTGTTACATTGAAATGAGATTCAAGGACTTAAAAGACTCCTACACAACGTTGGCTGCTGAGAAGTCTACGTCGGGGGAACAAACTTACCTTATAGTTCCCCATCAAAACATGCAAAAAATAAATGTACAAGTTTGAAAAATCCAAAATGCAGTATGTACAAGACAATTCACAGACAGAATGTACAGAACATAACACATATCAGTCGTGCTTCTGGCATGCGACATAGACATGGTCTTGGCCACTTTTGGGTACGACCCTATCTTTTTTGTGTTTTTGTTTATTTGTTTTTTGTTGTTTTTTTTGTTTATAATTTGTTTATTTATTGTTATAAAATATTATATACACAGTGCTTGTGCTCTTATTTAAAAATTGGTATTAAATAATAATATATTTTAACTAAATTATAAATAATAAATAAATATTATGAAAATATCAAGTTTATTAAATTTGTGGAATTCTTTGAATCTGAAATCAAAAAATACCTCATTAATAAAAAAATTAATCTCTGTTTACCAAATGAGCGGATATCAGTTTATAAGAATTATTTTGAAGGAAAAATACACTTTTTCATATTGATGATTAAAAAAACAAAAACAATTAGAAAGAGTTAGATTTTTGTATAGATGGCTAAGGATAAATATTTTTTGTAGTTGATTTTCATAAAATCATAATGTATTTTTCATAAAACAGAAAAATAATAATATTTTAAAGATAACAAATTATGGCTCCTATTGATTTTTATGATAGGAGATTGTTTTATAAATTTCAAAAATAATTATTTAAGAGTTTTAACTAAAAATTGCTAATAGAATAAAGCAATGTTTGATCTTGTTTTTAAAAGTAATTTTCAGCTTTTATAAGTAAGAAAAAAAATAGTTAATTAACAATTTGCATTATAAATATGCCCTTTCTCAATAATTTTTATGATTTTTTTTTTATTTAATCAATTAATGTAGTTATTGTTTATCGATATTCAAAAATATTAAATGAAAAAGTAAATAAATGTTCAAAAAAATAAAAATATTTTGCACTCCTTTGTTTTAAAAAAACAGGATGACATATCTTTATTTACCTGAGTTGGGTTCCCGTTATATCATTCACACCATGCTAAAGTAGCAAATCTGCAATGTTAAAGAGGCTCACGTTCATTACTTTAACATGGTGCCGACTGTATAAAAGCCATAATTTAAGAAAAAAAAAAATTGTTTAAAATTGACAAAATTATTTTATCCAACTCTGTCTAATTATAAATAGGTCATAATAGACTGACTCCCTATCTCAAATGGTTTTCCAGAGATATATTGTAATTTAATTTTTAATAATGATATCATTTTAAAAGTAATAAATTATAAAATTAAATTAAGCATTCAAATAAAAAATATTTAAGATTAAAATTACTGACAATAACAACAATGCGGTATTAAAGAAATTTCCCAGCAATGTATAAACCAATTTCAAATATCCGGAAGTTATTTAAGCGACTACTACACTTATAACATTAATTTTCTTTATTAATTTCAATTGAACTAATTAATAATACTTTAATGAAAATATTGTTTACTTTTTACTAACTACTTATCAACTTGTGTTAATTGTTTATTACCTAAAGGTTTTGTTATGTAGAAATAAACTGTTATGGCATTTAAAGTTAATGGTTATACATGTTAACTCCTTCGCCCTGATTACCACATCTGTTAAGGACACATTACATTCTAATGATTACCAGGAGAAGAGTATCATCAGGCGGTTTTGACTCGTATCAAAAACATCTTGTAACTCTTGTTATCACATTGAATTCTATGAATGAATTCTGTTATAAAACAGAAGTAAATTATTCAGGTCTAGTTTCAACCAAAACCACTTCTGACTTTCGCATTCTTGGTTATATGTATAAATATAACATATATTAATGTATAAATAAATATTATAATGATTATTTTGAAAACTTTATAAAAAAACATACATATATTTACAAATAATTGAATATTATATTCTTATTTACAATGCCTATCATTCATTATAATGAATGTTAAATAAAATATTTACAATATACAGCTTCATTGATATAGCTTTCCATTAAATCACAGATATTAAGATCATTATTTTAAATTTTCTTCAAATGACAAATGACAAATTTGATTTATCATATTCCGATATAACAGTATTATTATATGTATAATGCATAACCGATCAAGTTCAATTAAAAATATACTTTTTTTATAGATATTTATATAAATTTTTAAAAGAGATATTCAGTCTTAACAGAATGGTAATCAGTTGAAAGAAGAAATGTCAGTTTTGCCTTGTGGGTGGGTCGGTTGTGTGGCCTTAGTATTTATCATGCTGCAAGCAACAGCACACTGTGAGCTCTCATGCATTGCTGTTTCATTAAAATAATTAATAAAGGAATAACTGATTTCTATAAAAATTAGACATAAAGAGGTAAAGATTTTTGTTCTTTTCTTCTACAATTGTTGTGTTATATTTTATAAATAGTAAACAGGAACAAAATAAATTGGAAGAAAAATCAATAAATTTAATAATTGCATGTGTAAATATTTTAATTTAAAAATAAACAATTCATTATGATTAATTTGTTTTTGTTGATAAATTACTTTTTAAATAAATTAATTCTTTGATTAATTTAAAAATAAATTCTCAAAATAAAAAAAAATAATAATATAATAAAACTAGTCTAATTTACCATTATTGTATAAATTATTTGAAACAGCTGATTGTTTTAAATAAATAAATGCTCCATGCAGTGTGCTGATTATATTACATGCCATGCAATAGCAGAATACTAATTCCTACCTGGAATAGGTGAGCATGATGTAAATGGATCACCGGTATGCCCTTGCGAGCACGAACATATCGGGGTATGATTCACAACTGAGCAGACCGCGTTTGCACCACAAGAACCGGGGCACGGATCAATACATTTTTGATTAACACATGCTCTATTTGAGCCACATTCCGGATTTATTGTACACTCTGGACGGCAATTAGGCGGAACACCGATATAATTTGTCATGCATGAACAAGCCGGATTGTCACCACGAACATGACACTGTGAATTGGGACCACATGGTGAAGGTTCACAGGGGTTCACTGGCTCCACTGGCTTTGGTGTAGCTGAAACAATAAATGATATTTTCACAATAATTTATTTAGATACAATAATAACAAAATTATTAACTTTCAAAGAATAAGCAAAAAAGAAGAGTATAAAAAAAATATAAATTAAGTATATTGATTCAAAGACTAATATATAATACTACATTATTTTTAAAAAATTTACATTGAGTAATTTATATGTACCGAAAATTTATTGATCAAGAAAATCAATTTTTTTCCCATGTATATGAAAGCAAAGGTATTTAAATTAGGATTATAATTAAATACATTTATGTACATGTTAACATAAATTTTGATAAATGTTTGCTATTAATGTTTATAAAAGCTTTAATTAAATTATTAATATGTTCATAAATTAAATCACTCAGGAAAAATAATTTTTTTTAATACGGTATTAAAAATATGTTACCTGGAATCGGGAAGCACTGCCTAAAAGGATCACCAGTTTGCCCTGACGGGCAAGAGCAGATAGGGTTATGGTTTACAACATTGCAGCGTGCTCCAAGGCCACAAATACCAGGACAAGGGTCACGGCATTTGTTATTCAGACAAGCCTGAGTCAAGGGACATTCAGCACTAACAACACATTCTGGGCGACATTGAGGTGGTGTTCCCACCTGTCCTGGAGCACAAGAACATACTGCATGTCCATCTGACACACGACAAATGCTATTTGGCCCACAAGGTGAAGGTGAACATGGGTCTCTGGGTGTTTCTGAAACATTTATCGATGTTGGACATAAGACTATGTTTAGAACATTTTATTTAATATGTGATAGTAAGTAACAATTATAGTAACATACCAACAGGTTTATTTTTGCAGAGTACAAAAGGATCGCCAGATGTTGGTGGGGGGCATGAACAGGTAGGTATGTGATTAATAACATTGCATACAGCTCCTTGTCCACATGTTCCTGGACATGGATCTATACAATGCTGATTAACACATGCTTTTTCTCTAGAACAATCTGAGTTCATTGTACATTCTGGTCTACAGCCTTTGAGAGGATCTCCAAAGTAACTGGGAAGACATATGCAGACTCCATTATTGCAGTTAGTGTTGACACCACATAATGTACATGGGTCAGATTCCTCCACAGGTTTAGGTTTTTCTATAGCAATAATTGAAATTCCATTTTTTTAAAATATAAATTACAGTGATTTAAAGTTTATTGACTTATTTTTAATTTTAAATAGTACAAACCTATTATCTGAGAACATTGAGTGAATGGATCTCCACTAAAACCTTGAGCACAGTAACAATTAGGAATATGATTCTGGACTCGGCATTCAGCATTAAGTCCACAAGAACCTTGGCAAGGATCTCTGCATTTTTCGGTTATACAAGCCTGAGTTGTTGGACAATCAGTATTGACCAAGCATTCTGGGCGACAGTTTGGTGGAGAACCAATATAATTTGCTTGACAAGAACATGAGGCCTGGTTTCCTTCTGCAACTTGACAATGAGAATTTTGACCACAGGGGTTAGGCAAACATGGATTAGTTGGCTTCACTGGTTCAGGTGTTACTGAAATAAAAATAGAGAAATGTTTGACATCAAGTGATTAAGAAATTAAATTACATTTTATTAATGTTTTTGACTAAACAATAAATTTACCTGGCATAGGATAGCATCTTGTAAAAGGGTCTCCAGTTTGTCCTGTTAAACATGAGCAAATCGGGCTATGGTTTATAACCTGACATCGAGCATTGATTCCACATGTTCCTGGGCAAGGGTCAGTGCATTTATGCTTGTAGCAAGCTCTATTTGTAGGACATTCAGAGTTAACTACACATTCAGGACGACAGTTAGGAGGAGATCCTGAAAATTCTGGTGCACATGAGCATACTGCTTGACCATTTACAGTTCTACATTGACTGTTTGGACCACAAGGAGAAGGTTTACAAGGATCTACTGGTGCTGCTTCAGTAACAGCTAGAATATAAATAAAATTATTGAGAACAATATAAAATAAGATGTTCTGTTAAATAGATAGATAATTAAATAAATTAACATGCCTGGTGGAGGAAGCAGAGAGCAAGTTGTAAAAGGATCTCCAACATATCCTTGAATGCAACTACAAGTAGGTACATGATTAACAACATTACATTGAGCATTAGATCCACAGACACCTGGGCAAGGGTCTTGGCATTTATTACGAATGCATGCTTTATCAGTTGGACAATCGGAACTTAAGACACATTCTGGTCGGCAACCTTCATAAGGATTTCCTGTGTAATCCGCAATACATGCACAAGAGCCAGCATTATTCTTCTGGGTACAGACAGCATTAGGACCACAAGGTGATGGTTCACATGGATTTACAACCTCATCTATAAAAATTTTAATTTTTAATAATGTCATATTTATTATTCAGCTTCAACATGTGATTAGTTACAATTATCCTTTTAAAAACTCACGTTTCTGTTCTAAGCATTGAATGAAAGCATTGCCAGTGTATCCCTGAAGACATGTGCAAGTAACTGCATGACTTATAACAGCACATTGAGCATTGAGACCACAGGTTCCAATGCATGGATCAGTACATTTATTATTTATACAAGCTTGGTTGGTCGAACAGTCTGGATTAATGACACATTCCGGGCGACAATTTGGAGGTGCACCAACATAGTTAGGAAGACATGAACATGATGCCTCTTTTCCAGAAGCTTGACATTGTGAGTTCGGGCCACATGGAGATGGGGCACAAGGATTTTTAGGAGTTTCCTCATCACTTGGAGCAGGAACTGAAATCAAACCATGATATTTTAAGATAGATTGTGCATTGATTATAAATGTATTGAAATTTAACTTTTATAAATGAAAAAAAGAAAATTTACTTGGTAATGGATAGCAACTTCTAAAAGGATCTCCTGTGTTTCCAGGTGGGCAAGAGCAGATTGGGCTATGGTTTATAACTTGACAACGAGCATTGAGGCCACAAGAACCAGCACATGGATCTGTACACTTGTTGTTAACACAAGCCTGGGTCTGAGAGCATTCGTTGCTTAGAATGCATTCTGGTTTACAAGATGGAGGAGAGCCCACATATCCAGCAAGGCATGAACATACAGCAACTCCATTTGGTGCTCTGCATTGACTGTTAGGTCCACAAGGAGATGGATTGCAAAGATCTTTTGGCTTTAAGCTATCTAAAAATTTAAAATTAAAGATCACATACAGTTTCTTTGAACAGATTAGAACAAAAATTAAATAGTTCTTATTCATAAAAGTACCTGCTGGTATTGGTCTGCAGTGAGTAAATGGATCTCCAGTAAATGACTGAGGGCAGGAACAAGTTGGAATATGATTAATCACATCACACTGAGCATTAGTGCCACATGTTCCTGGGCAAGGATTTCTACATTTATTTCTTTGACAAGCTTTGTCTCTTGGACATTCAGTACTCAATACACACTCTGGTCGACAGGCCTCATATGGATTTCCATTATATTCTGGTATACATTCACATATACCTCCAGGCCTACAAACTGCATTAGGACCACATGGTGAAGGATTGCATGGATCTTCTACAACTGGTGAGGGTGTAGCTACAATTTTAACAAAACATTTAGCTCATATAATCTTAATAAATATTTTAATTAAAATCTGAGATAGTTTATAAAACTTACTAATAGGAATAGCAGAGCATAAAGTAAATGGATCTCCTGTGAAACCATTTTCACAAGAACAAACTGGTACATGATTAATAATACTGCATTTAGTATTTGCACCACAGGAGCCTGGGCAAGGATCGCGACACTTCTGGTTGATACATGCCAGTTGAGATGAACATTCTGAGCTTAGAACACATTCAGGTCTACAATTTGGTGGTGCTCCTAGGAAATTTGGCAAGCAAGAACATGCCAATTGGCCTCCCACTATTTGACATTGAGCATTTGGACCACATGGAGATGGTGTGCAAGTTACTGGTTCTGGTGTTGGAGGAGGTGGTGGTGCAGCAGCTAAAACATATTTTATAACATTATAAGCAGCTAAAACATATTTTATAACATTATAAAGTTGTGTAGGGTTTTAAATGATGTAATTAGCATAATTATAAATTAGTATAAAGATGGCTCAGTTTTAGTTAATTTTATTGCTTCATTTGGAAAATATATCAGATAAACGTTTCTGAAAAAAAGAAACTAACAACCATGTCAATTCTTTATTTTCCAAATATTTAAAGGTCCAAAATCAAAGTAACCTCAAGTTAAAACATTAAGTTATAATGTTAAAGAAACATGTACCAAGATCATCATAATTTGAGGTAAAAGAAGTTTAAGTTTTATTGTTTATTTATTTTATTTTTTGAAAAATTCAACAGGCAAGCATTGGCTCAATAACTCAACCATGCTTATACTACTAAAACCTTACATCCTTACTACTATAAATGGAACTTTTGTTCTAAAAAAGGTGATTTTAGCAGATAAAAAAAAAATGAAGTGCCTTATCATATGAAGTTGTATTAATTTGTCTGAAGAAACCTTGATTATTTAGGTGTCAAAACCTTGTTTTGAACGTATCAACATGTATATTTACATTACTGGATATTTAAAAAACAGAAATTATTCAACATTAATTATCTAAAAGATATAATATCACATCGTTGTATACTGGCTCACTGTTATACATTGTATCTTGGGCTGACCTAAGATACATTATTATAAATTCTAAATATATTTGTTAAGAGAGAAAGAATTCTTGATTCACCGTGTTTTTTTTAAAGTTTCTAAAAGATTATTTACTGAGTGCAAGCATAATATAATATAGGCTTTCAATTGAGGATCAGAAAAAGTTAGTTTACCTTCTTGGAAAAGCGAATGCTAAGAAACATCCTATGGCGAATAATGGCTTGTTAAGTTTTGGAAATTTACATAACTAATTAAGTAGTCATTAAGAGCTCTCTGATTTACAAGTATAACGTATGGAATTTCAATAAGCCTACTGCAAAGCTGTTTTTTATAATCATGACAATTTATCCAAAATATATAAGATCTCTACTAGAAATTCATGAAAAAGCTGAGTTCTTATGTGAAGATGTTTCACAGAAACCACTGGCAGATCTATGGTGTGATAAAGATCTCTTTCCTTCCCATAAAAACAAATTGATAAATCATTTATTTTTCATTGATCTATATTTGTTTCTGTGATTCTCCCCAATCCTTAAAATGCCCTCAGGCAGTGGAAGGAATTTGTTACATGTATATATTGTATTATTATGTATACTATATATGTAAATTGTTTCAATAAACATTTTGGAGGGTAAGAAAAAATAAAAAAAAATAAAATAAATAAAAGTTTCTGTGATTGATCTTTGAAAAATCACTTTAAAAATCATAATATGTTCCTTTTTATTATAATGTAAATACAGTTACTAAATTTATAAATGTGTCAAGAATAAAAATATAAAGTTTATCAAGCATCATTTTGTATAGTTCTTTTCTTTTTATTTCAAAGTAACTAATGTTAAAAAAATGTTCCTGCTTTATAATTAAATCCTGAATCCGTTAATGAAAGGAAGAATTTATACAAATTATGAAAACAATAAACAAGCAAGGTTATAACGAAAAAGACCGTATATTTCTTTGTTTAGTCAGTTCTGGTTTTATTATTAATCATGAAAATGATCCGAAAAATTCATTTGAACTAAAATTTAAAAAAACATGGCTTAGCACAACTCAATTCCACAAAATCAATTGGATCGAGCTGCTTTGGGTAGAGCTTGGTAAAAAGATCCAGTAACACGCAACAACATAACAAAAAATCCATAGTTTATGAAAAGTTACTCGATAATAAATAAGTGACTTGAAAATTAAGCCATTGAAATACTGCTGTGAGTAGTCATAGCAGTCTTGAAAATCAAACCTAGAAAGTGCAGAAAAAAAGGAAAGGAAACAAGAAAGAAAATAGTTGATTTAAGAAAATAAAGTTACTTCATTACTTTTTAATGATAAAAAGGAATATCTAATGGAAGCAATATTAGAACCCAAGATCTTGTTGAGAAGGCTGTAATAGAATTATAAGTTGCTAAGAATGAGTGTTTTCAGTTGTCTCAAAATGTATTATAAATAAATGTTAATTTGTGAAAAAGGCGAATGTAAAAAAAATATGTCGATACAATTATAGCCATCACAGAATTACAGCTGTAAAATTTCTCAAAACACTGCAGACAATTTTGTTCTTTGTATGGGTTTTAAGACATTAATGAATGTGAAGTACCAGATGAAGACATTGTTTGTTTTCTTCCACCAACATTAAAAGGGAGACGTGGTTGATTATTATACTCCATTTCTTTTTTGAGCAGTCAATGAGGTAAATAATTTTATACATATACATATGTATATAAAATTATTTTTTTATTGACCCTTAAATATTGTATTATAAAACAATTATTCTATTCAGGTATTAGATTCGTTAATTAAAATTGAATAAGTTACATTAATTTTGAAGTTAAAGTGAAAATACAAATTTTTATAGGCCTTAACCAATAATTTTTAATTTCTATTTTCTAGTTGTTATCTGGTAACAGCGTATTTATGGTTCTGAAGAGGATTCCATTGTGTGTATAAGAAAATAAGGTATCGAAACATTATCAAAGAAAGAAAATAAATTTCAAAATTAATGTATTTTATTAAATTTACCTAATAATTAAATAAACCTAATACTCAAAAATAATAATTACTTTGTAATATATATATATATATAATCTATTATAATTATAATTCCTGTTAAAACAAATATTGCCCAAGGTACAAGTCATAGTCCAAGTAGCGGTCCAAGGTACAATATAGAGTTGCCCAAGTTTCAATTATATTGATTGTACCTTGGGCCATTTATTATTTACAAAGGATTTTTTTTAACTCAAAATCTGATGATAAAATAATATAAAAAATAATAAAGTATCATCAAAATGTGACAAATACAACTCTATTTTGAACTCTCAAAAATCATTGTTACTTTAGAAGTTATAGAACATTGAAAAATCCTGACCCAAGGTGCACGTATCTTCCCTATTATGAAAAAAAAAAAATGCAAATAAAAGGTACATATAGTTACTTACGGATAAGATGACACTGTGAAAATGGGTCACCAGTGTATCCTTGAGGACAGGCACAAATTGGATTGTGATTCTTAGTATTACATTGTGCATGGAGGCCACAGGTATTAGGGCAAGGATCAGCACATTTCTGATTTATGCAGGCTTTATCTAGAGGACACTCAGAACTGACAATACACTCCGGCCTGCATGTAGGAGGATGTCCAACATAACTGGGAAGGCATGAACATACAGCCTGTTGATTGACTGTTCTGCATTGGCTGTTAGGTCCACATGGAGAGGGAAGACAGGGATCTCTTGGAATTGGTGAAGCTAGAAACACGATTGAAGGATTTGTAAAGTTTAATTTGATTTAAATAGTTTCACTAATTATTGATATAATGTTATGAAGTATTGTTACACATACGTGTAGATGGTGCTTGATGACATGAGAAGAATGGATCTCCAGTAAACCCAGCAGGACAAGTACATATTGGAATATGATTGGCTACAATACATTCAGCACCTGTACCGCAGGTTCCTGGGCATGGATCACTGCATTTGTATCCAATACATGCCAAAGGAGGAGCACAGTCTTGATTAGATTCGCATTCCCTTCTGCAACCAGCATAAGGATCTCCCTGGAAGCCAGCTAGGCAAGAGCAGGCTCCAACTCCATTTCGATTATGACATTCTGCATTTGCACCGCAGGGTGTAGGATGACATGGATCAAGCTTTTCTGGAGACCTCTCTGTTGCTGAAATTGAAAAGATAAAATTTATAAAACAATAGCTCAGTTTTTGATAAGTGTGATTTGATCATTTCTTTTCGCCCGCATCTTACTTGCTATAGGTGCTGGATGACATGAAGTACTAGCGTCACCAATATAACCTTGGGGACAGGTACATACGGGATTGTGGTTTACTACACGACATTCAGCTTGATGACCACAAGAACCCGGACAAGGATCAATACATTTTTCATTTTGGCATGCCAAGTTTCCAGCACACTCAGCATTAATAATACATTCAGGCCGACAGTTTGGTGGATTACCAATGTAATTAGGTAGGCATGAGCATGCTGGTGTCGAGCCTACTGTACGGCATTGAGAATATGGACCACATGGTGACGGAGCACAAGGATCAGAAGGTGGAGAAGGTGTAGTAGAAGCTAAAATAGAATAGTGAACAGAAAAAAGAGAAGTGTTAAAATAGTATCAAGAATAAATGAAAATGAAAGATATAGTTAAAGGTAAATATATCTACATTGAAGAACTAACTCAGAAACTAAATAAGGATTCCAGAAATTATAATTTATTAATTAAATTTTGTTTTCACTACATGGTAAAAAAAAAGAAAAGAAGGTCAGGTAATTTTAGAAAAACATTGTGAAGTTTAATCTTACGTTGTAGCCTAGAACAACGAAGGAATGGGTCTCCAGTGAACCCTGAAGGGCAACTGCAGATAGGATTGTGGTTGACAACTTGACATCGAGCATTTTGGCCACAAGTTCCTGGGCATGGATCTGCACATCTTTGATTAATGCAGGCTTTGTCTTGAGAACAATCTGAACTAACTACACATTCTGGTCTGCAACTTGGCGGTGATCCAACAAAGTTAGGTTGGCAAGTGCATACAGCATGTCCTTTGATTTCCTTACATAAACTATTAGGACCACAAGGTGATGGAACACAGGGATTTGTTGGCCCTTGAGTAGCTATATAAAACATTTCATAGAAATTTAAGTCAATAATTTAACCATTGCTCAAAGAATAGAAAAAAAAAAAATTATCTTACAAGCTTGTATTATCAAACATTTTGTCAGTGGATCACCAGAATACCCCTGAAGGCAAGAGCAAGAAGGAGCATGATTTATAACACGGCATTCAGCATTTATTCCACAAGTTCCTGGACAAGGATCTTTGCATTTATTATTCATACAAGCTTTGCTTCTGTCACAATCAGAATTTGTTACACATTCTGGTCTACATCCCGAGTAAGGATCTCCAAAATATTCTGGTAAACAAGAACATGAACCTGCTCCATTTCTTTCTTTACAAACTGCATTAGCTCCACAAGGAGATGGATTGCATGGCATTCTTGGTTGATCAGTAGGAAGAGCTAAAAGAAAGAAAGTAAGAAAAGAAGATAGACAATGAAATATAAACAAGAAGTATTAGCGATAAATAGAATAGTAATAGTTTAGTTAGAATTAGAAGACAGACAAGAAATCTTACTTTGTTGTACAAGTGAGCATCCAGCAAAAGGATCTCCAGTATAGCCAGGAAGACACGAGCATTGGGGATTGTGTTTAACTACTTGACAAGATGCTTGAGGTCCACAAGATCCAGGGCAAGGATCACTACATTTTTCATTCTGGCAGGCCAAGTTGCCTGGACATTCTGCATTTATTGTACACTCTGGTCGACAGTTCGGTGGACGACCAACGTAATTAGGGGAACATGAACAAGCAGGAGTATTTCCGATTGCTTTACATTGGGAATTGGGACCACAAGGAGATGGAATACAAGGATTGCCAGTAGGTACTTCAACTGGGCGCTCTAAAATTTAAAGAAGAAAGAAAAAGGATTAGAAAGAATAAAGTCAAGAAGATAAATAAAATAATAAAAACATATTATTGAAGAATAAAGAGAAGATTGGAAGTTATAATTAGTGTATAAAACTAGTAAAATAGAAACTTTTTCTAATCATGTTTAAAAAGAAAGATTATGTACATATACACTAAATAAAATGTAATTGTAATTGAAAGAATTCCATACTTTCTTCTTTAATACAACGAGAAAACGGATCTCCAACAAATCCACGAGGACAGCTGCATATCGGATTGTGATTGACAACTTGACAACGAGCATTGATTCCACAGGTTCCAGGGCAAGGGTCTGTACATTTTTGATTCATACATGCTTTGTCTTGAGGACAGTCAGCACTGACCATACATTCTGGTCGACATGATGGTGGGGTACCCAAGTAATTAGGTTGACATGAACAGACAGCATGATTATTTACGACCCTACATTGACTATATGGTCCACAAGGTGATGGCTGACAGGGATCTTTTGGCTTTTCAGGTTCGGCTGATTAAAAAAAAATGAAAAAAAATTGTAAGAAACCTTTACTAATTCATTCAATTTTAAAGATTCCCTGTAATTTACATTTAATTTTCTTACTTGGTTGAGGTTGGCGACATGCTGACATAGGATCACCTATAAATCCAGGTAAACAAGTACAAGATGGTCCGTGATTTATCACATTGCACTCTGCATTAAGTCCACATGTTCCTGGGCATGGATCTTTACATTTGTTATTCATACAAGCTTTTGATCTGTCACAATCTGAATTGACAACACATTCTGGCCTACAGCCTGTATATGGATCACCAAAATATTCAGGCAAACATGCACAGGAGCCAGCACCGTTCCTCTCTTTGCATACAGCATTGGCACCACAAGGTGATGGGTTACATGGATTTTTTGGCCCTTCAATTGTGGGCTCTGAAAATTTTTAGAGTTAAGAGGAAAGAAGTATTTAGATTTAATATAGTATTAGATATATAGAAGAAGAAAGAATATAGTAGGTAATAGATTTTCAGAAATTCCTTACGTTGCTGTATAAGTGAGCACCCAGCAAAAGGATCTCCTGTGTAACCTGGAACACATGAACATTGAGGAGTATGTTTAACAACTTGGCAAGTTGCTTGCGGTCCACATGATCCAGGGCATGGATCACTACATTTCTCATTTTGACATGCCAAATTTCCAGGGCATTCAGCATTTATAGTACATTCTGGACGGCAATTTGGAGGATGTCCAACATAACTGGGGGAACATGAACAAGCTGGTGTATTCCCAACAACTCTACACTGAGAGTTAGGACCACATGGAGATGGAATACAAGGATTGCCGGTAGGTTTTTCAACTGGACGTTCTATAATTGAAAGAAAAAAAGAAAGACAAGGTTTTAGAAAGAATAAAGTAATAGAGAAACATAAAAAATATATTATTGAAGAATAGAAAGAATAATAATGATAACAAAAATTAAAACAGAATTAAAGAAATTTAAAAAAGAAAATGTAGGTATTAAAAAGTATAAAAAGGAAAAACAGAATATACACAAGTGTATACAAACTAAAAGAAGATTATAAAATCGAAAATTCCTTATGCTGAAAATTTAATTTTTATAATACAAATGTATTTCATAATTTATATTGTGAGTTTATACAATTTAAAGATAAGAATAGTATATTTATTATTATTATTGAACGTGAAATATTTATCATCATTGAGTGAATGTTATAATAAAGATGTTCTATTTTAGGTGAAAATGTCATTATTATCAGTAATAAAGTAAATTAGTGTGATAATAAGGTTTAATGCCAAGAAAAAAAAAATGTTTCAAGCAGCACATGATCATTTTTTTAGCAACTTATATATCAATATATATTGAAATGATTAAATTTAATATTAGGAAAATGTTTCTTCAGACAAGAGCAAAGAAAGATGTTACAAGTTTTTTAATTTAATAAGATATATCATAGAATAAAGCAAGTATTAAGATAGCAGTTAAGATAAATAAGAATGATAGTGGAAACATAAATACGATTCCTTACTTTCTTCTTTGAGACATCTAACGAATGGATCTCCAGTAAAGCCCTGCGGACAACTGCAAATAGGATTGTGGTTTACTGTTTGACATCTTGCATTTAAACCACAAGTCCCAGGACAAGGATCTAAACATTTTTGATTTAAGCAAGCTTTGTCCTGTGCACAATCAGCACTGACCATACATTCTGGTCTGCATGTAGGAGGTGTACCAATGTAATTTGGTTGGCATGAACAAACAGCATGTTTATTAGCCACTCTACAAATGCTAAATGGACCACAAGGCGAAGGCTGACAAGGATTTTTTTCAGGCTCTGGAGCTGAAATATCAAGTTAATTGTGAAAAATTATAGATTCTGATTTATAATCTACGGTGCTCAAAAAAACATGGTTTGCCGAAATTACTGATTCTTACTTTTAGGAGGTTGTCTGCAAGCAGCTATTGGATCACCAGTAAAACCAGGAAGACAGGTACAAGTTGGAGCATGATTAATAACATTGCATTCAGCATTTATCCCACATGTTCCTGGGCAGGGATCCTTACATTTGTTATTCATGCAAGCTTTCTTTCTGTCACAATCTGAGTTCACTACACATTCTGGCCTGCATCCAGTGTAAGGGTCTCCAAAATATTCAGCTATACAACTACATGATCCAGCTCCATTTCTTTCTTTACAAACTGCATTTGCCCCACAAGGTGAAGGATTACAAGGATCCTTTGGACTATCAGTGGGGGGAACTAGAAGAGGAAAAACTAAATATTGTATTTGGAAAGAGGTAAATAGAAAAGAGAAGATTTTAGACAGTTAATAGAATGAAAAAAGAAACATAAATGGAAGCTCACTTTGTTGTACTATTAATGAACATCCTGAGAATGGGTCTCCAGTATATCCAGGTACACAAGAACATTGAGGGTTATGCTTAACTACATGGCAAGTTGCTTGTGGCCCACATGATCCAGGACATGGATCTCTACATTTTTCATTCTGACATGCTAAATTTCCAGGGCATTCAGCATTTATTGTGCACTCTGGTCTGCAGTTTGGAGGGCGCCCGATATAGTTTGGAGCACAAGAACATGCTGGAGTATTCCCCACTGGCCTGCATTGAGAGTTAGGTCCACATGGGGAAGGAACACATGGATTTCCACTAGGATGTACTTCAACAGGTCTTTCTAGAAAGGTCAAATTTAAGGAGAAATGAAACAAGTGAACAGTATAAGATAAGGTAAAGATAAGAAAATATAGGAATAAAGATTTGTAATTATTAGGAATATATATGTAACAGTAAATTATAGAAAAAGTTGAAGAATGTGTCTTACTTTCTTCTTTTAAGCATCTAACAAAGGGATCACCAATGAACCCAGAAGGACAGCTACAGATAGGATTGTGATTCACAACCTGGCAACGAGCATTGAGACCACATGTACCAGGGCAAGGGTCGACACATTTTTGGTTGATGCATGCTTTATTTTGGGCACAATCAGCACTTATCATACATTCTGGCCTGCAAGCTGGTGGGCTTCCAATGTAATTAGGTTGACAAGAACAAACGGCGTGACTATCTACAACTCTGCAGACACTGTATGGCCCACATGGAGAAGGTATGCATGGATTTTTAGGAGTAGTTGGTTCAGCTAAATAGAATAAAGAAAGGTTTATATGAAAATTTAAAAATAGTTATAGAACATGAAATAGTAAAGTAAATGAAAATTAAAGTAGAAACTAAAGTTTTCTAAAGTCATGTCTTATAAAAATATAAAGAATGAAATAGAAATGAAGAAGAGAGAGTTTCTTACGTGGTGGAGGTTGGTTACATGCAGTCAGAGGATTGCCAGTAAAACCTGGAAGGCAGTTGCATGTAGGTGCATGATTAACAACCTTACACTCTGCATTCAAACCACACATTCCTGGGCAAGGATTTCGACATTTATTATTTGTACAAGCCAAATGTCGAGGACAATCAGTGTTGAGGACACATTCAGGTCTGCAGCCTGTGTATGGATCTCCTGTGTACTCAGGTAGGCATGTACAGGATCCAGCGCCATTTTTTTCTTTACAAACAGCATTAGAACCACAAGGAGATGGATTGCAGGGATCTCTGGGACCTTCTACAGGAACAGCTGGGTAGAAAAATGAAAGATAAGACTATTGTTGTCAATGAAAGCTATAGCAAATATAAAAATGTGAGATGTCGCTTACATAGAATAATAGGTGAACATTCTACAAATGGATCACCAGTGTAACCTGATAGACAAGAGCATATAGGAGAATGGTTTGAAACACTGCATAGTGCATTTACTCCACACGAGGCTGGGCAAGGATTCTTGCACCTTTCATTTTGACACACTTGATTACCGGTACAGTCAGCGTTTATTGTACATTCAGGACGACAATTTGGTGGCCGGCCTATGTAGTTTGGCAAGCAAGAGCAAACTGGTGTTTCACCCAATGCATGACAGGCAGTATTCGGACCACAGATGTTTGGAATGCATGGGTTCTGACTTGGTTTTGAAACTACTTCAGGCTCTACAATACCCCAGACAACATGCATCAAAATAAAATACATTGCATTTACATGCAGCAGCACATTATTATCTATGTCAACTTTGCTACCAGGAAAACTGAAAAATTAAATTTAAAAAAAAAGGAAAAAAGCCTAGCTTAACGTTAACATAGATAACTAGTACTGCTTAAACTCAGTAAAAAATGCAAACTACATGCAAGAATACTTAATACTCACTTGTTTCTAAAACACAGCGTACAAATGGATCTCCTGTGTAACCTGATGCACAAGAGCAAATAGCATTATGATTGACAACTTGGCATCTGGCATTTAAGGCACATGTTCCCGGGCAGGGGTCAGTGCATCTCTGGTTGATACAAGCACAGTTCAAGGCACATTCTGAACTAATAAGACACTCAGGTCTGCATGCAGGTGGTGCACCAATGAAACCTGGTAAGCAGCTGCATACTGCATAGCCAAGAATCTCTTTACACTGGCTATATGGACCACATGGAGATGGTAGACACGGTTGTTTCACCTCAACCACAGCTAATTCAAAACATACAAAAGTCATGCAAGCCCAAACCACTAAATACCAAAAAAGTTTCGAAGCAAAGGAGCATAACATAAAAATAATAATAATTTAATAAAAAAATGGGATTCTCTTTGTAATTTATTATCTAATGCATATACTCCTTTACTCCATAAATATGTACCTTAAGTAAACAATTTTCAAATTGATAACTAATAAATAAAAAATATTGTAATAAAATAGAAAACAAATTGAGTTGTGAAATAGTGTTCTATTTTAGCACGAAAAAAAAGCTTGAAAAACATTTTCATACTACTTTACTGAATTACTAAATATTTAAAGTTGTTTCGATAAGCAAGTATTTGCTGTTTACTAATATCTAATTTTTACAGTGGTCAAAATTTATTTAAGCTCTCATAAGTTATTAAATTTTTAAAATTATGTACAACTATGTATTAATAGATCACACTCTATAATAATAATATTTATCTTTAACTTTTATAACAGTTTAATATTTATAATCAAATCAAATTGAATTTCTCATTTTTTTTTTTGCAACTATTATTTCCCAAATAAAAAAATATATTTCCCTAAGACAAATAACTTTTGACTATTAACATGCATTGGGAGAAAATAAAGCGAGCACATAAAAGTAGCAAAAAATAGAAATAATCTTACTAGGAGCATGCACTATTTTGTTGCAGAAGACAAGTGGATTTCCTGTGAATCCCGTTTTGCATATACAATAAGGTGAATGATGTGCCACACTGCATTCTGCATTCCGACCACAAGCACCAATGCAAGGATCTTTACACTTATTATTCCAACATGCTTTGTCCCAAGGGCAGTCCGTATTTAAAATACATTCTGGACGGCATCCTAGGTATGGATCTCCAATATACCCTTCTACACAAGTGCAAGCTGCAACACCATTCTGTTCCCTGCAGATTGTATTAACTCCGCAGGGAGTTGGAACACATGGGTATATTGGTTTTTGTTCAACAGGAACTGAAAACATGCAACAAAATTTCAACATATATCAGGCATGCATGGAGATCTTTAGTGGGCCATTAAATTATCTGGACAATCATATTTGTTATTACATTATTTGACTAACCCACTCGGGGGTTTAGGCTTTCTTGATTTTGAACTGCAGTCAATACAAAGGGTTTTACTTAAAGGTATTCTATGAGAGATTAAAGTAAAAAAAAAAAGAACATATTAAAAATTACATGAATTAATGATATATTTAAGTAAATTATAAAATCAGACAAATTATATTTCATATTATGCCAATAAAAATATAGAATATAAGAAGGCAGTATCGATTTACTACTTTAAAAAATAATAGTTTAACCTTTTATTAAGTTTGTTATTTGAAAGAATTGTGACTGTATTTCTATCTGAACAATAAATTACTTGAAAAATGTAATTGATTTAAAACTTAAACATTAATTAAGTTTTTTGTACTGTATGAACTTTTAAAAAACATAGAAACAAATAATAACTAATGAAATAAAATCCATAAGAAATTATTTTATTCATCATTATCATCATATTTGAAATCCAAGTACCACTATACAGGATTATTTTATTGAGATTAAAAAATAATGTTATTTGCAAAGTAATTAAGAACAATAAATAAAAAACCTAGACCTACCTTTATTTAAAAATGTTACCACATGATGAAATGAAGGAAGAATTTTATCATAAAAAAATAATGCAGGCAAACAGAGAGCTCTGAATACTACCAGAAGATTCTATAGAGAATACTTATATTAGTTTTAGAGAAGAAATTATCTTTACTTATTATTAAATGTAAGCGACACCTTCCCTGTCTTGAATATGATCTTACTTTGAGTGAAGCAAGAACTGAATGGATCACCACTCTGCCCCATGGGGCATTTACAAACAGGTAAATGATTGACAGTGTAGCACTCGGCCATAGCTGCACAACTCCCTGTGCAAGGATCAACACACCTGTATTGAGCACAAGCTTTGTTTCCTGGGCAGTCAGCATTTGTTGTACATTCAGGGCGACAATGTGGAGGAGTGCCTGAATAACCCTGTTTACATTTGCACGTTGGACCGTTAGGAGTTTCAAAGCAGTCGCTGTTGGGACCACATGTGGACGGGAGGCAGATATAGGGTAGCGATGACTCATTGTCGACACATTCTAATAGAAGAGTCATGCATTAGAGGGTAGAAACATGCATTTAAAGAAGATTGAAACCTGCTTCCTTGAATTGAAAAAATTGTTATTATAATACAAACAAATATATATTGATTACAGATCACATATGTAACTATTGGAAAATGAAACACTTGAAGAAATATTAAGCCTATTGGGCAAAATCAGAATTGTTCATTTCAAGAGGCAGTCAAAACAAAAGTGTCATAAGTACAAACTTGATAGTTTTGAATTTTATAAAAAATTATTTAAAATAAGTTAATTTATTGTTACAGTTTAAATAATATAGTTATCCTCTTTCCCAATACTAATTTGAAGAAGTAGGAGAAAAATTTATAGTTGAACTTGATTCATTCCAAACCAATTAGGTATAAATAAACTGATTTTATTTCATTTTTTGAACTTATTGCACTTTCATTTTAACCAGCAAATCTTTGAACAATGACCAGTGAGAACGATGGACGAACATTCACCAAGATGAATATATACTATCAGTATCCATACCATAAACATGGATAGCACTATAAAAATTGTAATCAGTGTTGCTGTTTTTGTGTTGAGAAGTGGATACATTTTGAAAAAAAAAAGGTAGAAGATAGTGGATTTTATTAGTTAATCCAAGTAGGAAGTGTAAATACCAGTTTTATTCTACTAATTTTACTACATTAAATTGGATTTGTTGTTTTGTTTTTTAATTATTTACATTAAAAATCAAATTTTTATACAGATTTAGTGGCACAACACCTTTGATATCATAAAAGGTGAAACCATAGATGAGTTTCAAAATTTCAGCAGGGTGCCTTCTTTGATAAAATTCGAATCTATAATTTACAATATGGAGAAAAGTTATTCCCTTTTTGGTATAACCCTTGGATATATCCAAGAATAAATTAAAAAATTTATAAATTCACGATGTGAATTCAAAGAAAGCTTTGTGGACATTTATGAATACGATTTATTCTTAGTAAATTATGTTTATGCTGGTCAATATTTATATTCATTAATTGTTTTTTTTTATTGATTGAAAATGTTAAAATTATCAATATTTTGTACCCACATTATAGAATATTAGACTACTAAGGTATTGTGACTGAGGTAATTGATTTTATTTTTATATTGAAATAGATTTTTTCCCATGAAAATGGCCTAAGGTCTGAAACATTCGATAAAGAGTAAAAATAAAGTAGGACTAATGTGATCTAATGAGTGTTTTTATTACTATAAATAAAGTGAAGTTCCAACTACCAATATTGAAATATGTATATACTAATAAATTATTAAAGAGAAGGATGGTTGGGGTGGTCAGTCAAAATAAAAATAGTAAAAATAAATATAATTATTTATTTTGACTATTTTTATTTTGACTGATTACTCCAACCACCCTTCTCTTCAATTATTCACTACAGTCAACCATCAACCCACAACTAATAAATTATGTTTATGCTAGTCAATATTTATGTTTATTAATTTTTTTTTAGATTTAAAATTTTAAAAATATCAATATTTTTAACCACGCCAGAATTAGAATTTCAACGAGCACAACTGTCCAAATTTATGAGTTAAAAATTAAGCACTAGAGGGTGAATACGTATATTTGTGATTCTATGACTTTGCTTGTGTACAAAATACTGATGGTGTGGAAAAAAGATCGGCACAGATGTTTTATCTTGGCTTGATACAAGTAATCCATCCAGATTACTAGGGATCTGGTGAGCAGTTACTTAACAGTTGGAGAATGCTGAACATATAGATGCTGCTTTAAATAATAAAATGTTTTTCAAGATATATATATACGTATATATATCTTGAAAAAACATCAATAAGATAAGAATTATATATATATATATATATAATTCTTTTAATTAAATTTTTTTTAAATGATTAATTTTTGTAATGTTTAAACATTTGTAAAAAAAATGACATGCTATCAAATTCAGAATGAATTGAAAGAGATATGATCTGTAATCAAATGGAAAATAAATTATCAAGTTCTAATGAAGTTAAAAAAAACCTTGTTAATGATAGAGAATTAATATAATTAAATGTGACTAGGTTAGAGGCCTCAATGACATTAGTACAGGTTTTCCAATAAAGAAAAGTAAAGTGCATAGTTATTTATGACATTGAAATGTTAAACAATATTACTAGTAAAGCAGTATAAATGTAGTAATTGGGCACATCACTCGAACAAAAATGAACAGTCCAATCTATCAACTGGACCTTCTTTGAGAGGAATTGTAATGAGCAAATAAAACAAGTACATAAAATACTGCTTTGCACATTAAATTGAAATTGGATTTAGAGGTAGTTTAATTACAATAATAATCAATTTTCAAAAAGTGGTAGCAATTTAAATTTTTTTAAATTTATTTTTTAAAACAATACATACAAAAACACACTTGATAGGAGAAATTTATCACAAAGTGTATTTAACATGTAAATAAAAGCATAACTTGTGATGTACCCAAAAAACAATAGAGTAGCAGGTAATAAGATATTATTAAATTAATTGAGGATTGAGGTACCATGCAGAGTTAACATGCTTACGGTCAGGCATTAGGCATCTAGTGAAGGGGTCACCAGTATAGCCAGGACTACAAGCGCACACTGGAGAATGGTTGACCACCCGACACACAGCATTGGGAGCACAGGTCCCTGGACAAGGGTCTGCGCACTTCTCCCGAACACAAGTCTTGTCGTTAGGACAGTCAGAACTGACTAGACATTCTGGCCTACAAGTTGGGGCAGTACCGACATAACCAGGCCTGCAAGTGCACACACCTATCCCTTCAGGAGTCGCCCGGCAGTCACTGAACGGCCCACAAGGATTTGGAAAACATGGTGTTTCTGGTCTTCTTGTTGGTGCTATACAATAATCAGTACTAGTTTTATTGTTTAGGAAATTTCAAAATGAAGGACAAAGCATTTTTCTCACTGATATGTAAAATTCTGATTTTTTTCTTATAATAATTTTAGAAAAAGGATGCGGAAGCTGTGATAGAACGGCCACCATTGAATGAAAAGTGATTTTGATTATTCATAACGTACTAGAAATAGCCTTTGAAATTTTATGATGTTTATGATAATTTTAAAACAAATTTTAACATTTTTTTCATTATTTTGTCATAATTTGATAGAAGGATAAATCTATATGAATATATTACAACTAGAAATAGCACTTCATCAAATATTATTTTCTAAAATAATGTTTAAAACATGAAATAATTCTTTTTCTTTCATCAAAATATTTTTTTTATTTTTAATATATAAAATGAAAATATATAAAACTAATTCAGAGATCAGCTCTACATTTATCATAAACTTATCAAATTTAGGGATAACTAAGCAAGAGGTAAATTATGAAAATGTTGTTTCTTCAAACTGAACTGAAAAATTAAAGATTTTTACATATCAGGAAGAAAAGTTTACTTACTTTGTCACAAAATATTAATAAGTATTACAAAATTTCTAAATTATCATGAAATTAAAAAAAATTGCTATTCAATTAAACTTATATCTTTTTTATGGTAAATATAGAAACTTGAGTGGGATGAAACATGGACTAAATAAGTGCTTAAAGTAATAGAAAATAATTGAAATGAAGACATGCATTTATAAGAAAAAGATTTAATGATAAAGCAATAGATCAGATTTAGTAGTGTTAAAATAGATTTGGAAATGGAAAATCATTATTTAAGATAAAGAGAAAATGTTAGTAGGCTTACAAGAAGGAATGGGAGAGCATGCAACTTGAGGGTTCCCAGTAGTTCCAGTAGGGCAGAGGCAGACAGGTCTATGGTTGATGACTTGACACGTTGCATTGGGGGCACACGCACCAACACAGGGATCAAAGCAGCGGTTTGTATTGTTGCAAGCAAGTTGCGGATGACAATCACTGCTTAAAAGGCACTCTGGCCGACATCCAGTATATGGATCCCCATGGTAATTCTCCCGACAAGTGCAACTCCCTGCTCTACCCCTCTCGATACAATCAGCATTAGTACCACAAGGGGATGGAGAGCAGGGTGTTCTTGGTCCTTCAACTTCTCTTACTGTCACTGCATTCATAGAAAATTTGTATTTATTTATAAAAGTAAAGAAAATAGGAATCCAATTGATTTAATTGATTATTCAGTGTAATTTTTTCTATATTAAAACTTAAGGCTTAACCGATAAAACAATTAACACCAGATTAATTCATATATTCTCTGATGTTATAAGTAAAACTATTGATCTAAAAGTTAGTTGTTGAACATGCCCAAGAAATAAAAACTTAAAAATAAGTAAACTTATTTTAGTGAGTATACCAAAATATCTCGTAGTCATTAAAATAAGTTTGTTTATTAATGTATTCTACTTTCCAGACCATACTCCTAACCAACTTTATCTAATATTAGTTATACAACCAAAGACAGCTTCAACATTATAAAACTATTGTTTTTCTCTAAAAATTAATAAATCCTTTTCTGTGTTTTATAGATTAAACGATATAACCCTGAAATTTCTAAATCATATCACACTATGTTCTCCTAGTATAATTTACTTTGCTTTCTTTAGAAATCAATCTTCAGTTTAGTATCATTTGTAACATATTATCTTGAATAGATAATATATTACAAATCTTAATTTTTAAGATGATTTTTGTGGTAATATGTGATCAATGCAAATTAATAAATTATATTACACTATGTTCTCCTAGTATAATTTACTTTGATCTAGAAATAATCTTCATTGTAGTATTATTTGTAATATAGTATGCTGAATTGATAATGTATTACAAATCTTAATTTATAAGACGATTTTGGTGGTAATATTTAATCAATATCTATGAAATTCAATGATGTCAAATAAAAATTTAACAGCTAATATCTTAACACTGGTTAGTTTACTGCCAGGTGAATAATGCTGGAATAAAAATGTTGTTTAACCAATAACTGATTTTTTTGTATACGATTTTTCACGACATTCCAACT